AAAAAAGTCTTTATTGCTGACGACACGGCAAGAGTTGAACTCTGACCTGTGAAGCCAGCAGAACAGGGGTGTGGTTGCGGTAGAGAGAGAAAGTAATTTATACCGCTGTGGCCTAATAATGGGATCTTTCCCGTTTGGTTATTGACACTGCTGTTTTTCTCATTAGGCTCTGATGTCATCACAGTGGAGTGGGAGGAAGTGCTCTGTTGAGTCAAAGCTACAAAGTTTTAGCAGAGCAGCAGTGCGTTTATAAATCGGTGCAGCAAGCAGTGAATGACTGAATGCTCAGCTAACGAGGGCAAATAAAGCCAGTGAAAGGAAGAAAAAAAAGAAAAAGGGAAGAAGAAGCTGAGTGCTTTCAGCAGTATGAGTTCAGAGAAATTAGCTACTGATTTCCTGCCTCTGCCGTTGCCCTTCTCCGATTTTAAATGAGCGTGCTGCTCTCCCCGCCAACCCAACAACACACAATCAGTCTGTATTGCATTCCAGTGCAGCACCGGGGAAGTCCTGCATTTTTCAGGGTGACAGAGGATTCATAACGGCACCCTGCGTCTTCAGCTCTGGTCAGATTTTGGGAATTGTTGAGAGTAGCTTGTCGGCTTCAATATCCATCTGGCCTGCTGCTGAGCGGCCCGTGTTTTGTTGTCACTCTGCGTAGGAACCGGGGCTCTCTCTAACCTAATAAGGTCCTGCCTGGGGCGACAGCGCTGAGGACAAATGACTTGACTAGGACGTTAATGTAGGTGGATCACCCTGCTGTACTTTCATCTCAGCCCCTGCACTGAAATGGTATGAAAATGTCAGCAAGAAAAATGTTCTCTTGCAGCTGGTGGAGAATATTTGTTTAGTTTTTGGGACCCTGATTTTCTGTGATGAATTGCAAGGAGAAATCTCTCGACTGATTCATGTTGAAGACCGGCGGTGTTTTGAGACTTGGCTTTGGGGGGAAATTTGATGTTGCTACAGTGTACTTATCCTTATATTAACTTCAGTCTGGAGACTTTACAGCATTTCTAGTGTTGATGGTGTGTAACAGTGTATCAGTTCATGCTTATTTGAAAGGTAGACATCAGTCTCAGTGTTCGAGAATTTCCCAAAACGGAGCTATTATTGTCTTGTATTACCCAGTTTTTGCATAATATAATATCTTGGGGTGATTTTTAACCGTAGTACTAAAAAGTTATTCTTTTGAGCTACCAAATTGTGCGGTTAGGGGATTTACCAGGATTTCTGGCTTTGGATGGGGTGTAGTGTTATACTGATGTTTATTTAAACATTGCTCTTCAATCTCTATTTGCAAACTGCACAAAACTGTGCTATTATGGTCTTTCTCCCCTATTAATAAATCATTATATATAAGTGTATAGTGTATAGTATGAATATTAATGACTTTCAACCACCAATAATAAAAGGTTTAGTGTTAGATAATAAATTGTGATTCTCTGAGTAGCTAGAAACATTATCATTTCTTTAATAAAATAAGTTATTACGTCTTAAATCCAACATGCAGATTGTTACTGGGTCTTCTCTCAGTTCCTGTTAGTTAAAGTGAAGAAGATTGAATCACCTTTACCTGAATAAATGAATACTGCTTTAGCCAAAAGAGAAAAAAAAAGTAGGTGAAGCAGATTTATGAAACCTTTTTCTCTTTTCTTCTTGTCTCCATATTTTTCCTCCTAACTGCTTTGATCTTTTGCTCATACCGAGGCTGCTGGCTCGTGGCTAGCTCTGACTTCTGGATAGCTTTAGCTTTAGCCACTTTCCCTTTGCTAGCTTCTTTAAAATGTCCATTTTCAGTTGAGTGAGGGTGATTTATGACCCCGATTAGGTTTGTTGCTACGAACAAATCTATTCAGACTTGCCAAAGTAAGCCGTAGCTTTTCTTCTGGTTTGCTTTGGCAAACTTTGTGTCTTTGCTTACAGTAAGGAGCTTCAACACTAATGATATTTTGGCATGTGAATGTGAGTTTACGTTTGACTTTTTCCCTGCCCTGCAGTGTGTGTGTTGTGCGTGCATGAAACGGACCAGCTTGTAATCAGACAAATGTGAGGCTGACCGGCCGGTCACCGGTCAAAGCCAGGAGCGCTGGATATCAGCCGATTCCGCTCCCTGGCTGGTTGATCCGCGCATCTCTAGTTTGATTTTTAATTTTTTTTATTGGTACACTTGGTAAATTAATTGGGAAACCATTTGAGCATTACATCTGGGGCATAGGGCTGAAAAATGTGATGATTTTTTTGTAGTTTTTGTGTAATATTTCTTAAATACAGTACATAAAAGAGATGATGTATGGGTCCAGTTATTGCTACTCAGTCTTCCCATCAGGCTCCACCCTTTTACAGGAGTTTAACTGCCTTTTAGAGTGAAGTCTGACATATTAAATGTAAAAATGGGGCCAGCAGCCACAATGTCATCAACATTGGTTCCAAAAATCCAATAGTGGTCTCTGGTTTCACTGGAATGAAGGGATAATGCAGATTAATCATTATGGGCAATTATGTGGTGCCGTAAATAATTACATACAAATGTTAATTCTCTCTCTATCAGATCTGAAATAAATTGGGGGATCCAAATCACAATTGTGTTCAGCGGTTTCATTATGTAGCATGTGATCCAGCAGCTGATGCTGCTTCATGATTATCTTCATGCCAGAAGGGTCGAAGCAGCCTCCAAAACCCCCCCCAGTGAGGGTACGCTGGTTGGAGTACCAGCGTACCCTCAAAGAAGCACGTGTAGGTTTACTGTGTGAGGTATACCGAGGGGAAAATAAACTTTAGATCTTCTGGCCAACAGTTTGGAGGCTTAGCACATAAGTGCTTTGTGGAAGAAGTGGATTCACATCCTCTCGAGTGTATGCAGTGCCCTGCTTTGCAGTTAGGTAGGATGACTCTCAGAGTAGTGAAATGTAGTTCCTATTTTCCTCCTCCTCATCAGAACAGCAGCGGTCCCAAGGCGCGATAGGAATAGACACGAGTCTTGTGACCAAATTAGAAATCCCACACGTGCTAAACAATCACACACACACCTACCCCACCTGTATTTATTTTTTTTGAAGAGCGGTATCAGGGTTCATGTGTACAGTGGGATACTTCTGCTGAGTGAAGGAGAAACCTGGAGGTAACTGTGCCTCTCATCCTGTGCTTCCTTTCAGATTTAATTATTACAGGACTGCTCCCGTCTCCCCTCCACCTCCTGCAAGCTGGTCTCTCTCCCCTCTCCTCCTCCCCATCTTTGCCATCTGTTGACTTCAGGTCATTTTGCTACTTTCTCGTGATTGCTCACCCGGTCTTCCCCTGCAGTTTCTTCTGTTGTTTTAGCCCCCGCCCCCTCCCCAGGAAAAAAGTCATTACCATCCCCGGAACGAGTCAGCGCGCCTTTATTGACTACCTGAAGTACAGAGTTTTCTATTTTCTCATGTTCGGTGCAAGTGGCCGCGGTGTTGAGTGACACTGAGATACACTCATCCTGAGCTGACTCCAGTGCACTGCCCCCCTCCCCCGCTCATCCCGCTGAGTTGCTTAAGGAAATTAAGCACATGACTCCACTCGTGTATGAGTCATTGTCTTTGCTCCCTCCATCCACTTTTTTCTTTGCTGCCCATTTCCTGTTGAATTTCCAGTCCTTCCCTATTTTCCTGCTCATATGTTTCCAGATGTTTGCCTGTGAGAGCGCCGCCCTCACTGTGACGCAGCGTGCCCGTTCCATGAATCTCGTGCGCCCCCATACCTTCAGTGTTTTTTTTATTTTTTTGTGTTTAGAGTTTGGCCTCACCGTAAAGTAAGGTTCATACTTTATTCATGTTATTCAAGCCTCTAAGAGGTGATTCATTATTTAGAGCTTCTACCTCCCAAAGCCAGTTCACTAAGTACATTTTTGGCTCTGAGATAGACTCGCGCAAGCTGCATTTTTCAATCACGAAGACGCTTCCTGCTCCCTCCTCCTCAACCGAGCCTCTTACATTTGGAAATGTTGTGCTTAGTTTTAGTGAAACGGCCCCATGGGGTCCAGAGTTAGATGGCTACAGTATTAATCAGGCGAACTCAAGCTGTGAAGCGCACAGAGCAAAGTGTTCCCCCTGGGTACAGAGCAGACGAGGGACATTGGTTCCAGATGAAAGGAAGATCAGAGGGGGAAGGACAGAGGGAGGAGGGAGAAGCTGGGTTGTTTTCTAATCTAGTGATATGAAGTCAGAGACAGGCAAATCTGTTTTTTTTCTCCCTTCAAAGTGTGTTGTAATTGCTGTGAAAAGCGCCTCCATTTAATGGAATACATTAGCATAAAAGCTGGAACACGGTATTATGAGAGTGAATAAAGTGAGTTACAAACTATTTTAGGGAGTAGAGGAATGATTTATGTTTAATATTTGGCCATAAACAAATTATTTTTTTGTATCCTCTGCATCTTGTGTTACTGTAATTACTCACCAGATGTTTGATGTATCCGCCGCTGCTTTGCACAGCCAGAACATTGAGAGGGATGTGTTGGAGATTGCATCAGGGCTCATGATCGCATTTCACACCGATGGGCTTCATGCTCGCTGACACTCCTGACCTATTTATGATTTAAGAGCCGCGGTGACACTCATTCTTTCTCTCCCGTCTTTCATCTACTGCTCGCATGATCTCACTCGCCCCCGTTATCACGGCTTTGCAAGCAGACAAAAGATCCACTGGGTGGAAAACTCTGGAGGAGACTGACTTGGGAGATAGCAGGAGTGTGTCACAGAACAGAGTTAATTTGATTAGGAGTCAGAAACGGCACGCAGCTGTAAAGTCAAATATGGAGGCAACAGCTTAGTGGGCATAAAAACAGAAGGAAAAAAGTCTGAGTGAATAACAATGAAGCATGAAAATGTTTTTAAGCGACTTGTCCTTTTTCTTTACAAATTTCTGACCATGTTTCCGAAAAATCTGCTCCTCTCTTTCAGAACAACGACCCCTTGACGCTCAGCTATCACGGATACCCGTCTCATAGTCAGGTAAGAGGAAAAACATGTGCCAAAATCCACGTTGTGTAATGTGGCCTCATTCCACTCCTTCCATTTATACAGTATTCAGATAACATTAATATGGCTCAGTGTAGCTCTTCAAACCACAAGGTGGGGGTGTAGATTATAAATTAGCAGTCGTGTAGTAAAAGACACGCCTCCACAACCCTCCAGTATTACCCTCCACCCACTTTCCTTTCTGTTCCCAATAATGCACACTTAGTAATCATCTTTCAGATGGCAAATCCAACTTGTTCTTTCTCTTTTAGCACCTTTAAACATGCTGATGTTATAGTTTTCTGCCCACAAACACGCACTCACACTGCATTGCATCTTGTTTGTGTTTATGTGTGTGTGCGTGTAAGACTACAGCATGTTTGCCCATCTTTGTATTAGCCTGCTGATTGTGTTATTAGACTGCTCAGTTTATGTGGTTAATCCTTAGATCATCCTCCGTTCATCCACTCATCCTCTCATGTTCTGCCCGTAATCTCCTCATCCCTCGCACTCCGTGGTGCCCGACAACCTCCGGCTGCTTATCTGCACTTTATCTGTCTTCACTTGAATGCTTTTATTTGCCCCAGTATGAGAATGGGCTTTTTTTTTTAGTACAGCTAAGTGGGTATTGCAGAAGCCTGGAAGTCAAACAGACAGTTTTGATTTCACTCTTAATCTTACTTTTGATGATGATGTTTTAAACTTTCGGCTTGTCTGAACAGCCTCTTGTTGGGATCGAAAGAAGTCATTCAAGGACTGCTTGGGGGCTTGGAGGTGTGATTTGGCCTCTGACCAGGAGGGGGGAAAAATGACAGAGAGGAAGAAAACAATGCAGGGCAGCGGAGGCTTCGACAACACTGAGGTGCTAAACTGTCAGCAGCAGTGTGAGAATGATGTGATCAAAGACTCCTGGAAGGAAGAGCCTGGAGAGTAGCAGAAGCCCCAAGTGTGAAGGGGAAGACAAGCTCTTTGCAGATGGAGTGTGAAACTTGGCAGGCTGTCTATTGAAGTAGTTTTCAAACTTTTTTTATATAAAGTAAAATCATCAGGTAATGGCTTGGCATGGTATTTGTCACCCGGTGCGCAAACCTGTGCCGCGCTGGAGTTCTGCATTTGAGCAAAGGATTCACGTGCAGTGTGCTGTGCTGAAGATTAATGCCACTTCATTACTCGTGTAGTCGATGGTCGTTATTCAAGAAACGATGGCGATTTGTTCGGCGGGTGCTGGCATCTTTTCTTGCATCTTTGATGAGCCTTCCTGCTCAGGGCGTGTTTGGTGCCCCCAGTGGTGTCGTTTTCTTCTGAGAAAAATCTGCTCAATGCTTCAATATGTTTAGCTGTAATGATGCTATCTTTAGCTCTCTGCTGGACGCGGATTACCGTGGGGGTTTGGGAGCTGAAACCAGGTTGATACATATTTTTAAAAATGCAGCGAGCGCGAAGCCAAAACAATGATCTAAAAGGTGCTAAAATGCTCTGTAAACCTAAGGGGAGCTGCAGAGCTTACACCGCTGTGGCTTCATCCTCCTTGTTTTTATAGAAATATCGTCCGGCACAGCTTTAAGTTGAATGTGATAACAGCCAGACTTGGGCCATGTTGGCTTGGCGGTGTTATGAAAAACGCTGCTCGGTATGACCTAGTATCGTTGCAGTCGTGACTTTTGCAGGAAAAAAATGACTGATGTGTAAAATTACCGGCTCATTTGCGTAACAAGGTGCGTGTCTGAGAGAGAGAGAGAGAGAGAGAAGAAAAGACGTCTATTGCTCTCTCCCAGTGGTGCCAGCAGCCCCAGTTAACTCACCTACATGGAGAAAGAGAATAGAAGGAGAGAGAGAGAGTGAGGAGAGGAGAGGAGGACTGCGACATGAGAGGAAAGCAGAGGGGAGGGGAAAGTTTGCAGGTGTGACAGAGGCAGAGAAGTAGGAAGGGGGAGGCGTTAGGCTATCTGGGTGAGATAGGAGGAGAGGAGGAGGACCGGAGAAGAGACAGAAGAGATGAGCAGGCAAGGGCACAGCAGCAAAACAGAAGGCTGGGGGTAGAGGGAAAGCAAAGGAGCGAGTGGGAGAGGGAAAGAAAAGACTGAGTGGGAGTCGGGGAGAGAGAGAGAGAGAGAGATAGATAGAGGGGAAGGGGGGGTTGAAAGAAAAGAAAAGCAAGCAAGTAAGCAAGTGAGGGAGAGTGACAGGGACAGAAGCCAGGAGAGGAGGAGGAGGAGGTGGGGAGGGGATTGGCAGGGCAGACAGAGCGAGCGGGGGCAGAGAGAGGGAGATTTTGAATCTGTGAGACAGACAAGAGAGACTGAGCTGGTGAGGTGACACAGGCTCGGCGAGGGAGAGAAAGCGAGGCAGCGTGAGAAGAGGAAAGGAGAGAGAGGAGAGAGGAGCGACGACAGTTTGAGTTGTTGCACAGAATACGATGATGGGACTGTACTATCCTAACGTGCTGTCGGTGAGTGTTTATCCCCGTATCTTTTCATATCCTCCTCCGCCTGCGCGCACGGCCGCTGCATCTCCTCGTCGGCGCTCGGGCTCGGCCGTACGCGAAACGGCATCAGAACGGGCTGTCATCGAGCATTAAATGTTAATTAACTACTAACAGACGAGGAGTCTACTTGACCCGATCGCTAGAGCGGGTCCAGTCAGAGAGCGTTTCGGGCTCTTGTCAGGACTCGGCAGCTACTTGCTACGAGTGGGATATAAACACTGGAAGTAGTGTAGCAGGCGTTGATGACAGCGAGATACAGGCTGGAGATCGTATCTCCACAATTATGATTCGTTATGCCGAGCCGCACGAGCGGCAGTGTGTTATTGTACGCTGTTATTGTGGCATCTGTCCCCCCCCACCAACCCTGCCAAAAGCTAGAAGTGCACGCAGTTTGAACATCAAGGGCTGCCACTGCCAGAAACTGCGCTCAGCCATGTATTATGTATGGTCAGGAGAATCTTATGTGAGCATACAGTACAGCGTGTCAGCTGGATGTAGCGGTTCAGTGGCGCTATTTCTGCTAGTCAACTATTTCGATATATCTGAAGCAGGAGAGTGGAAGCAGAGAGGGAATTGGAGGGGGGGAGGAGAGGTAAGTGGAAAACTCTTTCTTCTTTATTGGCCCTGCAGCTGTCTCTGTACATCGCTCCAGCCTGTGAGCGAAAGGGACAGGTGTCCACAGAACAGTTGTCCCTGCCCTTGTGTTGTGTTTTCCTTTTTTTATTGCTCGTTCTTTCTCTCTCGTCCTCCCTTCTGCATCTCTTCTATTCAGCTAACAACACCTCCTCACTGTAATTTCTGTGTCACACATTTCACAAACACACACACAAGCTCGAGCACACAGTGGGCTGCAAAGTTGGTGCATGAAGTGTCATGTTCATATCATTACATTTCAATTGGTGTGAGTCAGTATGAGTGTGTGTGTGCTTCTCTTTCAGCTGTACCTTGGATTCCTGCTCTCTTTACTGTTTGACCTCTTTTCTCCCTTCTCTCGCTCTCCCCGGGGCCCTGGCAGCTGTTATCTCAATGTTTTCCTTTAAGAGCCCCTGGAAGAGAGGGGGATGGGGTTTGAAGGGAGAGAAGGAGAGAAGGAGAGAAGGAATGGGAGCACGAGGAGAAGATTTTTAAAACAATTTTAGGGTGATGGGACACCCCACGCTTCCCCACCGCAGTCAAGGAAGCTCGTAGGTGAGGGAGCAGAACAGACACGGGCGAGCAGCATGAAAATCACATATTGTAGGTCAACTAGAGGCGGCTAGTTTGCTCAGTGACGCAATTTCAGTGTGTAAAGCTGACTTTGCAGTTATGTCCATATGTGAGTGTTCCGAGTTTGTTTACAGCAGGGGTAATTTATCAGCTCCTTGATGGCGCTGCATTTGCTAATTTTATATAACTAAATATATATATATTTTAAATTGTCTCTTTCTCCTGCGAGAGAGTTGAGAGCAGCAGATCGGGTGCAGAAGAAATATTTTCTCAAGCCCCACCTAAGCGTGTGCCCTGAGGCAAGGGAGAGACGCCTACCTGCTGCAAAAGCTATGCGCAGCCTGCCACGCTTGCACAAACTGGAAACGGGTCGTGAGGATTCACCCCCCCACACACTGGCACGCCTCCACCTCCCAAATCTTGTTATCGATTCTTTGCAGGGGTAACAATGGTGGTCGTTAACTGATCCCGATGAACCGTGTTGCCGTGGCAACTTGGATGAGTCACTCATTTTGCGCTGATTGTTAGGTGGTTCGAGGCATGAGGCAAAATGTTGATGGGAAACCTTTTGTGATGTAAACACCTTTCTGGACGGGGGTAAATCTTGAGCGGGCCTCCTCCTCCTCCAGCTGTGTGCTTCCCTTAACTGCTCTAAAAGTGCTCAGCGTGAGGCATCAGTGCAGCTTTAACAAAAAAAAAAAAGGAAAAAGGCAAGGGTTGCCCTTCCTGACTCTTTAGGCGGTGCAGTTGACAGTGACAACACCGTCCTACAGCTGGCTTCCGTATGTTTCTAAACCACACTGGACAACCAGGCGATTAGTGCAGAGCCCTCTGTGAGCGTCAAACAGGACAAACTAGTTTCAGGGTCATGTCTAATGTATTGAAAGAGGCATAGTCATGTTGGGTTAATACATATCTTTTTGCAGGTTTGTATGCTCACCTGCCTGTGTGTTTGTCTGGGATGGCGTGTGGATTCTAATGTGGAATAAATGTGAACAAATAATGTCATCATCCTTTTTGTTTTCGGGTGTTTATCTTTCATAAAATGCCGCAGTGGTGCTGAACGGACCATTTATGCAGCTACTGAGGAGATGACAGGGGAAAGTCGGGGTTGTGCGTGTGTGTGCATGCGTGCACGCGCGAATGCATGTTCCTGTGCACATGTATGAGGCTGGGGAGTCTCCCAGAAATGGCGTGCGAGGAAGGGGAGACCCTACAAGGAAAAGGATGGGGGTGGATTAGGAGGGGTTTGTTTGACAAGCACACATGTTACCCTATAAGGAAATGGAGGAGAGAATGGAAGGAGGAGCCTGGATCGCGCTGATATCCTGTTGCTATGAGGCAAATGAGCTTGATTGACATGTGTGGGGGCGGGACGTATGCGAGGGTCCCGTCTGGATTTTATGAAGCGTAAAGAAGTGAAGCGCACAGCAGAGAGAGTGGGAGGAAAGGGAGAACAGCAGCAGAGAGGAAGAGCGAGTGAAGGGAGGAGGGGGGAACCGATGGAGGAGGGGTTGATGTTGGATGGAATAATTTAACAAGAGGGTGTCTCCTGGCTCATCGGTATGCCACAGGCATGTTGTAAAACGTTTCTCCAGCTGTTTGCAGCTTGGGTAACAGCAGCGCAGACTCGGAAGCCAAGATCTGAGCTGAACACCGAACTTCACCACTTAATCCGATTATTGAGCCAAAATACGAGCTGCTGCTAACAACATGAATCACGTTTTCCATAGTCAAGTCTGTTGAATTAGGCATTAGCGTTATGGCCGGAAGCCAGAGAAAGTACGATTCTGAAACGTCATTATTCATGTGAAATGACCCACTGATGCCCCAGTTAGCTTTTAACCACACTTCCTCTCCTCTCTCCTTTGCTCTTCTCCTTGTCTCCTCGAGTAGCGTAGTGAGACTGCCGCAGACGGGCACATTTTATAACATGCCTCCTCAGACACACTTGCTGCTGCTAACTGACCCGAAAGTAAGCCAGCTACAGCTACCGCTCTGAGTCACTGGCTTTGCCTGGCCAACGCATGCACTTTCACAACCCTTAAAATCCCTTAAAACACCGGGAGCATACACCGAGACAAGCGCAAGACATGCACACAAACAAAATGTACACAAACCTTGAGTGCTGACACAAATGAACAGCCTACAGTTTGCTTGTGCACAGGGCAGCACTTCTCCAAGAATGCCCTCCTCCTCTGCCTTTGTGTTCCTCCTCTTATCCTGCTATCTGTGTGCATTTATTCAGTAGATGCTTTTATCCTGATTCGAATCACAAAGGCCACTCGCAGTCAGCAAAAGGCCCCAAAGCCTTACAGAGGGAGGGAGACGAGGAGGGGGGCACATACTGTTTTTGGAGATACGGGGTTGTTAACACAGTGCATCAGGTATAGAGAGGCCCGTTGAGATGCTGCAAAAATGGATCTCCTCTGAAAAGGCCAATCGTCAAACACAAATACAAGGTTGTTTTTGGCTTGCATTCCCGCCTCTATTTTGGGTCTGGCAGAAGGAGCGGCAACAGCCGGGGTTGTCCATTCTCCTGCGAGGCTGTAGTCTGTGCATGAGCAACAACAATGAAGAGAAGAGAAGAACCGACAGAGTTGTGATCGGGGGTCTGTGTCAGAAAATAACTTAAAGAGACTCCGACTCTAACCACAAATTTCTTATTTTCAGTCCCAGAAAAAGCTCCCAGTATTCCTCGCTAAGAGCTAAATATAATTGAACACGGGGAATTTTAATCCAGAGAAGCTAGAAATGTGAATCAGAGCTGGTCTTGAGATTTATCTTCAAAACTACCAGTGGAGACTGGAGTCAGCAAGTTTGCACTGTTACATTTATTTCAGCACAGCTCATTCATTCACTGTTTTCTTGAATTTGCCTTAAAGTTTAGCTTATTTAGCCTGATAAGGACAAGACGCACATGTATGTGAAAACATGGGTTGCTGTTGATGTTTATTAATACTCAGATCCAGAGAGATCTTGTTCACTACCTACCTCTACTACCTTTACTTTGGTTTTTCTTTGTTTTTTAGTGATTAGAGCTGCAACACAATCGTCCTCAACCAGAATTATTCAGATGATCTGTCCAATATTGGCTGCTATAACTTATTTGTTCCATAGGTGCGACTGTTTGCTTATCAATGAAGAAATGCTTCCTCATTGATCAGTCTCTTAGGCATCTAAAGGTTCATAGAGATTGCTACATTAATGCATTCTTAATGTGATTTTATGCCGTGCCGAGGATGAATCCTGCATATTTACAAATCTATTTCTCTGTCATTGGTGACATTCGTCAACTGGTCTATGAAATGAACTGGTTCCAGTACCTTTGATATCGATGATACAGCTGATTCAGGGTTGGTATAGAAAACCTTAGAGAAGGCTGGTGAGGCTCACAGGGTCACAGAGTTTATGTTCCTCCTCCTTTCAGAAAAAAAGATCAAAGAATTGAAGTCGTCATCTCTAAATCTGCCTCCTGGGTCATACCTCTACTCAGTGGTTTGTGCTGCTGAAATTACATATGTATATTGCTGCAATCAGAAATTGAGGCTTAAAGCGTGCGCTATTAACATCCAAGTCACTATCATTCTGTCTAAGTTGCATCACAACTTGTCAAGTCCAAGACTGACTCATCTGTAGTCGAGTGAGATGTGTCATGAGTCATCAATGTTGGGACTCAAGTACGACAGCAGTAAAGCGGTGATGAACAGTAGGAGGGTGGTTTTCCCATCAAATTGGACAAAAGATAGACTTTTATT